TCCTGGTTGTTGATCTTCGTGAACCTCAATGAGCTGTCGAGTTCCCAGGCAAGGTGATTCATCGTACAATTCAACACACTTTCTCCACACCTCAAAAAAATATACATCATTTCGAGAATCAGACTATAATATCGGATTATGAACACATTGTCTTACTTTATCGATTGTGTCTTTTCCTGGGAATGTTTCCGAAGCATGTCCTTGGACGTTGCGGATTGGCCCATCACGATCTTCCACCCAATTTGCCTAAATTATAAAGATTGTTAGAAGACCTACTAAGAAAAAATACCTTGACACGTTCAGATTTGCGTAGTTTCTCAGTTGGTGAATTGAACAACTGATATGGGAGATAATTGAGGCAATCGTATATGAAAAACCAGACTCGAAGAATAGCCATAGCTACACGAATCCATATCGGAGATTCGCCTTTCACCACCTAGAAAAAGTATGGTATACAAACTATTTTAACTCAGTGGAATTTTGCAAGATAAATGAAAACAAACCTGGCCGAGTGTCTTATCCTTCGAAGAATCGTACACCGAAACTTTCCGTTTCATCTGGAAAATAGAATATTCGGGAAAAAAAAAGGAAGAATCGGTGCCGTGTTAAAGATACAACGAAAATCTGCATTGAAAAAAACATGACGCACAACAAAATGAAAAAGGACAGAATTTTGAAAAGCTTCGAGCGAGTGATTGGATGAAAACAAGAACGTTTTGTATATACGGAGACAAAGTGAATCGTCAAGTGAAAACAGTAGAGTAAAAAGATCAGAAAGCAAATATTTGACACATTTTCTGTTTAAAAGAGGGTAGCATATTGCAAAGTACAATAATCGATGTTGCTTCTTTCATAGTTTTAACAAACGGAACTCAAAGTTGCCGAGCAAGTTACTAATCATAAGATGAAAATATGGGGAAATTCTGACGACTGAGTCAATCACGGAATTAATTTTGTGATGATGGCAGACTTAGAAAATTTAAGACTGCAAAAGTCACAGGGGAGGTTTGAGAAGTGCTGATAAGCCTGAATGCACACAGTATTTCCGGCATGTTTTCACGCACATAAACTAATTCATTTACAACTAGAAGAAAATAAGACGGACAGA